GCATTTGTCCGGCACAGTCAGAGGCAATGTAATTCGGTTATTCCATGTGCCTTTTTTTTACTAGCTCACACAACCAAGCAAATGTTCTGTACAATATCTGTAGATTCTGCATTTATAATCTTTATTTCAGACACATTCAATTGGTCCATATTTTAAATGAATATGAATATAAAAAATAGCAAACACAATACAATATATACAGTATATACATGAGATCATTATAGTCTTGATGGTTCTGAAATGTATCCAGTGTATGTAGCAATTTATAATATCTTGTAAAAAAAAAAGTGTAGCTCGGTTTACTTCAGCTGCGACTTCAATGATTAATATATTTGTAAATAACTCAATTCATTTATCTCTGCTAGTATTAATAGTTAATGAATTTGTTAATTTGGTTCAATATTTAGAATAATTTAAACATATGGATGATTCTGTGAGCTGCTTGTTTGTGCATAATGAGAAATTAATGAAAAGTTCCGCAGAATGAATGTATTATTTCAATCCAATCCAATACACTTTATTTATATAGCACAGTGCTGCACAGAGATAAAATCAACACATGTAAATATGCAGGTTTGCCAGCCTTAAGTAAAAAAAAAAACATTAGTAAAACATTATTCGCAAAGTAAAAACAATACAAATGTAATAAAAACAATAAAATAATAATACAAAAAACTCAATACAATCAAACTTTACATATTACAATGATAAGAAACAAGGACACAAAATCACACAAAATAAATTGACGTATTACATCCTTGATTATGGAATGATGCCATTATATGTTGAATTATAAATTAAGCGTTGATTTTAACAAAATATCTTCTCACATACCAACATTGATGTGATCTTTGGAACAACAATGGGGCAAATCTCAGTTTTGAGATATCAAAATGATGTTTTCCTCCAGCAACAATCATCTCATGTTAGTTAGTTATACTTTATTATTCCTGTTAGGAAATGTGTCTTCTGCATTTGACCTATCCTTCATCTCAGATGCAGTGGTTGCCATAGTACCCGCCTGAAGACCATCTCCAGATGTTGATGTTCGGCTTGGTCAGGACTACCGTAGCTGGAGGATTTTTGCCAATTGTTCATGTTTTTAGAACAAAAGGCAACGTGAGTTATTGCTGGTAAATTTGAAAGAATTTTCTAAAGAGGGGTGAAATGTGATTTGTATGGCAATAACATGTACTGTCTCTGGCTTTTCAAAAAAACATACTTGGGAAAGGACGAATGGTAAGCCTTTAAAATAATCATTCTAAAGGCACTTATCTGTTTTTGCAAATGTTCATTTGTAGCTAGAAGGGAACAGAAAGCATTATAACTCATGCCTCAAATGTTGTTGTGCACTGAAGCAAGACACAACAGTAACTACTCTGTTCAAATAAATGTGGCTGAATTGCAAAAAAAAAGGAAAAACTCACAAAAAACTGCCAAGTCACTTTGCAACGTGAGAATAAACTAAAAAGGAATTATAGCTTAGAAACTGCAATCTAACGGAGAAATACTGCAGCCTGCACATTTGTGTTCATAATTCAGGAAGAGACCAGACCACAAACATGAAAAACAAGATGATTCATTCTCCTTTTACTATTGTTGTAAAAGAGGAAAATTGAACAATTAGGTGAAAATGATGAGGATAACTTAAGTCAATTATGATATTTTAATTGATTAGTAAGCAAGGCAAGTTTATTTATACAGCACAATTCATGCACAAGGCAATTCAAAGTGCTGAACAAAATAAGAAAGCATTTAAATCATAAACAATCACAGAACATTAAAAAGAAAGATAAAAATATAAAATCCCTCAGTTGTATGCACAGCTAAACAGAACTGTCTTTAACCTGGTTTTAAACATTGTCAGAGAGGATTAGTTTATTAGAATCACAATTGATTATTCAAATAGTCAACTAATTTAGTAATTGATTAATCATTTTCTGAACCATCCATAAACTTAAACATGGTGAGAAGAGGTTTCGTGATTCATATAATTCTATAATGACTGCAGAATGAGATTAAAATGTGTTTACAAAGTATTTTAAATAGAAAAAACCAACATGTGTAACAAGTCTTCTTCTCCAGGGGCTTCACTTTGTTTTGGTCAAATATATATATAAAAAAACATATTCACTGACCTTTCACGATTCAAACAACTCATTGATGATCAAATAATTGTCGATTGAAACCTCATTAGTAGTTTTTAAATGTTCAGACAGTGGGGATGTACATGAAGTGACAAAGGTTACACAAAGCCAGTAAACAGTCTGTCTCATGTTGTTTTGAAAATGATTCTGGCGAGTGCTGAGTAAGCGGTGCAGGCGGAGGGCTGGTAGACTGCAGTACTCAGCAGATGGGGAGGGGGGAGCAGAGGTATGTGTTTCAAAATATATGCGCGTGTGCGAGATGGTTATGGATGCAATATGTAAAGCTACCCATCATTCCCATCCACAAACCAGCCCAGACATAAAACAGTTCAAATCCGGCTGCTTTCTAACAGACAGAGCTGGACCCTTGCCCCCTCCCTATTCTAATCTGCTTTCATTCCAGCCGGCTCTGAGGCACTGCATGACCATATACGATGGAGTCCACGCCCCCGAGAACCACACTGCGTCATGTTGGCCTTGTTTACACCCCCCGAACCTGTGTGCTACGAAGCCTGGCAGCTAGAAAAGCCCTGGTTCCCCATCATCAGAACGCCCACTCCCCAGATCTGAGTCACCCGCCACCCCCTCACCGTTAAACCAAGTCTCCCCTGGGCGCGCATGGGTGGCAGCTGTCTCCATGTCTTCTATATCTTGTTTGTCCACACGGGGAAAGCACAGGAAAACCTTAGAAAGAGAGAGTATTTGGATGATGCTTCCAAGCTGCTGCCTACCCCCCACATGCCTCCGCCCTTGTATTTCATTACATAACAGCGTCCCCATTACCTTGAGACTAATTTTATCTAGAGATGGTGGTGCAGATGCCTGGACTGTGCATCAATACAATATTAAAACACTCAAATGAATGCATAACATAGGCTACATATGTGAACCTGGAAATATATCGATAAGCAGAGAAATAAGGTTGTAAGTGACGAAGGTTTAGAGAGCAGTGAATAGAGTAGAACAGTCTAATAAATACACATGGCTGCCATTTTGAGTCTTTTGCTGGAAACACAAGAGCCCCCTCCAAGTTTCTGTTCTCTCATGGTAATACACATCAGAAGTCAAATGAAGGGTAAAATTGCAGCACAGTGCCATATGCTGGAGAAAAGGTAAAACTACAACTGATTGATAAAACATTACTGAAGTGGTGAGTAACAATTATGGTACAATATTGAGTTGAGATTTTTTTTTTTTGTTGATTAAAGTTGTATACTGTACACACTCCATAAGTTTTGTTTTTGTCCATGTAATCATTTTAATTTCAACAAATTTGAAATAAACAACAAATCATGATAAAAACTATATTCAGTGTATTATACTTTAGGCGGCAAAAGATCTTAAACTAAACATAGTTCTTTCCACCTATGGCAGACCAGTTAGCAGTAAATGATTTAGTGAGAGCTTTCCATCTCCCTCATTTGTGTGGACTCCTGCCAGCCTCTGTCTCTGCTACTGCAGGCCAAACACTGCAGAGTAGGGGGAGGACTTTAACTGCGCCACATATTGCTGCTCTAACCCAAAACATAAACTATTGTCCTCTTCCTCTTCTACGGACAACATAATGTCATAGGAACTGGTTCTAATTCACTTGTTTATAGAAATCGTCTTCTGTTTTCTATTTAAATCAAATATGTTAAGATTTCTTCTATTGTTTTCTCTGCAACAAGAGCTTTGACTGAGAGTGAAAGCTCAGAAAGAGTGAATTGAGTCTTCCAGCAGAATAATTCATCTGTGTTTGACTTGTCTAAGAATACTGGTATAAAGTGTTGCCAGTAGATGGCACTATATAGCATTGACAGACCCTGATTAGTTACATTAGGAACTATGGGACGCCAGCATTAATTTTTTTAAACCGTTTTGAATGGAACATAATTATAGTATAGTATTTCAAAGAGTATCCTACCCATGTCTTGCAATATCCACTACAATAAAAAACAAATATCTGCAGATAATGGTGAATATAAAATTGTAATTAAAGTGATTGTCTGGAGTTTGTCAGAGAGAGAGAGGTACTTGATTTGAAAAAAACGACGCAAGCTCCCTCCCCCTTCCTTTCTGATTGGTCTACACCTATGTTTCCGTAACACTTTTAAATGTTAATGGGAGAACATATTATACATATACATTATTAATACACATGCACGGAGGTTTTCAGAATTATTTGTTAACGTTTTCATGAAAAAAATAATGTTTGAATGCACAAAAAAAGCGATCGCGGCAAACCCGGAAGTAGCTATTATCATCATTTGAACATTGTAGGACACACCTGCAGAGGATCTGATTCTGGATATAGGTTCAGTATAAATGAGTAACTCAGCGCAGATGTTCAGAATTCTTTGTTCAGTTTTCATGTAGTTCCAGAGCCTAATGGAGACTTGATTCGGAGGCTCCGTGAAAACAAACAACTGAGCATGTGCGCAGCTGCGAGCATCAGCGCTGATGATTGACAGCCCTTGGCATGACTCGATTGGTTAACCTCGACGGCATCGTGGATTCTGAGCTATAGCTAAGAGAAGGGAAGGCGGGACTTACCCGTAATATTAGAATTAATAAAATTACTTATTTTATATCAGCATTTAAGGCCAGGAGGTCAATTCAATACAATTCTTAAAATGTGTAATTCATTTAGAGTTACAGACTATCACTTTAAAAGCACGTTTACGTTTTACTGAATACAGATTGTTCCATAGTGCGGGACATTTCCATAGTAAAAAAAGTTTTAACAGCAGTCGTCTGGATATTTTGTGTCTGTTTGTACTTTTTCCGACCATGAACACAGCTTTATCTGAAGTGGTAGACCCAAAGTGCTAATTTGAAATGTCTGTGTTGTTTTTGCCTGACCTCTCTGCTCTAGTTTGTGACTTTTGACAGCACAGTTCTCCTCTGGATGCTCTGGATGAAAGGTAAGTAGTCCTCAAAGTCCATTTCCGTTGACAGGGGTTTTCTCTGCATCTCGATATTTGACATCAGCTGACTGGTGCTTGGAGGCATCCCCCAAACCTGCCGCACAAAGGGAGCAGAGGATTAGGGAGGGATTCGAGAACCAGACCAGAAAAAACAGGCCTCTGCTTTCATAGATTCAAATTTCAATATATCTTACATTATCTTCAATTTTGAGGTGTTAGAAACATAAGAAGTATGAGACGTGCATCATCGTTACAACCATTATTTGTAGAAATGAAGGAGTTTAGATTAGATCAAGCTAGAAAACATGTTATCTTTTGCATACTCCTAAAGAACCCTGTGATGAGATGAGATGTATTTTCTTTTTCATTATTATGTTAGAAAAAAAGATACAGAGCCCCTAACCCTGGGCAGAGAACCAAACTTTGAGAGCAAAGGATGAAACAATGATGTGCTGCATTAATTACACAAGTTGACAGCCAAAATATGGTCAGGGGTTTCTCAACTGATTTAGACTAATTTTGGTGTTCTGAGTCCGAATATCACATGCATTTTGCTCTATCAGGTCAACTTTTTGAGATACAGCCATAGTGTTATGGATTATGTACGTCTACGTTATTATGAATTCTGCGTATCAAATTTGATGGAGTAAATAAAAACTGAATGACTTTGGATACGTTGACTTTTATTTCTTGAGGAAAACGGAAAAAACATCAAGGGTTTCTTTGCTGATGATCCGCAGAAATTTGTTTTTTACGCAATTAATCAATTAAAAAAAATATTTCTGTAGCAAAAAATCCTGACCTGATTGAGCAAAACCAAGGCCATTTTCGGACTCAGAGCATCAAAATGAGTCTAATTCAGCTGGAAAACCCTGGTCTATTTTCAAAAAATCTTTTTTGTTACCCAGTGTAACAATGTAACTGACAATAGGTCAGTTGTATTAAAGCCTAACTAAATAATCCATACTAAAATACAGTCACTTCTACCACTGAAGTGAGATGGGACATACAGATTTTGGCACAAAGGTGATGTCCACAGCGTTGGCCTTCCCGGTGGTGATCAGAGTGTTCTGGTGGACGGTGCTGTTTATCTCTTTGGATGGAGCGACGTTCTCAGGTGTAGCAGAGGAGGCCCCAGCAGCTTCAGGAGAAAACAACTATAGCAGACAGTAACAAAATACTAATCCATTAAAGACCATTTTACATTGACAATATACTGTACAAAAGAGGGATCATTTGTTGTGCGTTATCTCAAAGTATTCTGCTTAGATTCATGGCTTGTGGTGAGTAAAGACTATTTGAAAATAATAAATATATAAATGTGAATGATACTGTGGTTGTAGTGTCTCTTACTATCCTTCTTTGCAGAAATGCTTCCTCAGCTGTCTCTCCTTTGCCTCTCTACACTGCGCCTTGTTTTCCATAAATCATGTAAAAATAAATAAAATAAAAGAAACACTCTGAAATAATTAAATCACAGTTGCCAAGGAGAGTAGCATCAACGTGTGGAACAGTGCTGCAGACAGACGTTGGTCAGTTTTTTATTTTGTTGTGTTTATTTAAAATATATAAGTTGCGTGTGTGTGAGTGTGAGTGTAAGTGTGAGTGTGAGTGTGAGTGTGAGTGTGAGTGTGAGTGTGAGTGTGAGTGTGAGTGTGCGTGTGCGTGTGCGTGTGCGTGTGCGTGTGCGTGTGCGTGTGCGTGTGTGTGTGTGTGTGTGTGCTCAACGACTTGTTAATAAATAGCTTCTTAATTCACGGTTTGACTTTTTAATCGCACTAATAAATTATTTGGAGTTCCTGGCACAGCACTGAGACATGTTTTAAATCCTTTCGCCACCTCAGATTTCCCACAGGCTCAGAGGGGCAGTCACATGAGCCACAGAGGCAGATTAGCTCTGGACAAATTTTGGTTTCAAATGAAAGTCAGAGAGAGTTCAGGTGATATACTGTCTTTGAATATATATCATAAAAACAAACGGCATTGGAGAAGCACAATAGATTTATGAATGTATTGCTTTATTATTTTACCTTTCCTTTAGTATTTGCCTTTGGTGGTTTGGCCCCTTTTCCTTTGGGCTTTTTGCCATCTTTTGGTTTTGGGAGGGACTCCATCTTGGTATTGACTAGCTCTACAACTCTGATATCTGCAAAAGCTTTGGCAATATCCAGACAGTCTTGCTCTGTAGAAGAGAAATATGCACATATGAATGAAAGCTTCAACTATCATATTCTGTTGTTGTGTTTTTAGGCAAGACATCTTCTCAAAGTTGTTACTGTTTTGAAAATGTAATTTATGCAATCAGAAAAATTCCAATGATATTCAAGGACCTATATAAATATAACTGATGACATCGTGCCAGTATGAAGTATAACTTGAACACGTTTTATGACATAGGGCTTTTAGCACAATAAATGAGTTTTATTGGGCTGCACGATACCATCCATAGCATGATGTCATCAATCACAACCAGGAAATTAAACTATATATTAAAAATATGGGCAAACTTGGATGAATGGATACTTAAAATATTACAAACAAAATTGTGATTTGAACGATTGATTTTGCAGTACCGATGAACATATGTTCAGTTGGTGCTGTGTCTCTCTTTCTAAAATGTTTTCAAATATCTCCTAGAACATCAGCAACCATAAAGGCAGAAAAATGTAAAGTGGGAAAAAAGTAACGGTAATTTGAATAATGAAATTCCACTTCAGGTACTGTGTCCAGACTCCAGACCTTTCTTGTTCTCAGCCATGACGCTGGCCCCTGCTTTGATGAGATAGTCCACAGAGTCGGGTCTGGAGCTCTGGATGGCCCTCATGAGTGGGGTTCCTCCATTTAGAGCCCGGGCCTCAATAGAGGCTCCAGCGTTCAGCAGCAGTTTGATGATTTCCACGTGTCCAGCATTAGCCGCGTGGTGCAGAGGCGTCCAGAGGAACTGGTCATAAACGTTCACATCAGCCCTGCCATAACGCAGACATACATTTTACATTTAAATATTTAAGAGACTTGTTACACCTCAATGACCTGATATATTATTTGGGAATTTCCTCCATGTTATGAATATATACTGTATGTGTATGTATAGATAAATCTAAATTCTTGCCTTAAAGAATAACTGTTATGCATTATGTTGAGCTCTTGAACAGAATGAGACTATTTACTTTGGACTTTCAAATGATAAAAGGTGAAATCATGTCTTATGTAAAAAAAAAATACTATAGATGAATTAACATGTATCAAAGATAACAACTGATAATATAACATAATTCCCCATATCATCCACCAGGGGAAGAGTTTCAATGTGGTTGTAAACAACGTAATGTCATAGCCCAAGAACTTTTAAATAGGAGCATAAAGGCAGAAAGGTCAGAGCGACTTTTTAATATTGTGGATGGGGTATCAGAATCAAAAAAGACCTTTTTGTTTCACAAAATTGTTATGTTTCAATTAAATTTTCATTTAAACTTAACAATTTTGCAAAAATGTCTATTGCAAATGTTGACTGACCCTTGAGTGAGCAGATACTGGACCATCTCAATGCTCCCGTTCTGGCAGGCGGTCATCAGTGGAGTCTTGTAGAACTCGTCCTGAACGTCCACGGACACCCCCTGAGCCAGGGCCAGGTCCAGGGACTCCAGGTCTCCGCTCTTCACACAATAATTTACATTTATGAAGACCTTATCGGGCCTCTCCAGGTACCAGCCTGAGTCGTTCACAATGGGGTGAATGGGAGGGTGGTCCATGTCGAACCTGTTCTTGTCGGAGCACTCCCGGTATGTTTCAATCATGTAATCTGGGGGCCCTCCATTCGGTCGCCTTGGTTTCAGCTCCGGTGTGAGGGTGCAAATGGGGACTGGAAGGACAAACTTAGCTTTCTTCTTACCTCCTTTCCCGCCTTTCTCCTTTTTCTTCTTGGGTAGGTACATAGACAAAAGGTAAGGCTTCTTGATGTACTTTGAGCCTTTGATGAAGTCATTTATATTGATGAATCCTAGTTTGCTTTTGTCATTCATCGCTATGACTTGGTTCAGCTGCCAGATTTCAACAGGAGCTTGAACTTCTTCTAAGACTGAAATGAATTTATCAGAGGGAAAAATATCCTGGGAGCCAAACGTCTGCCGCAGCTCTGTCTCGTAGACGTTGGACCAGTCGTGGAGGCTCAGCGCCCATAGGTCCGACAGCAAGCCAACTGCGCTGGCTTTGTTGCCCTTTCCGAACTGCTTTTCAGCTTTCCTCAGTTCTTTTGCAGCAGCTTTGGCACCAGCATCTTTGGCAATCTGACGTGGAAGAAGACCCTCCAGGTTTTTCAGTTTGGGGTTACAACCTACAAAGAAACATTTCAGAATTTAAAGTGAAATTAATATGACAAATACCGCTTTGCCAGTGGGTTTTCAATTATGCAAATGCAACACGTTTTTGAATTTGAATTGAATCAGTTTAAGGACCCTTTGGAATACTCCCACATGGCCGTGTAGTTGTTACCTCTGATTGCTCATTTAATTTACGTGAGATGAATCTCTGTACATATAAAGGAGGGTGCTGTTAGTTGTTTTGTTTTTAGCAAATTCTCTTTTTTAGCTGAGGCACAGAAAATAAGATTCTGTATTAAAGCAAAAGTGTCTGGTGGAATACATGTAAAAGCTATATTTTAAAGTTGATATTTAATGTTTTTAAATTTTAAATATAAACAATAGGGGGCGATAGAGACTCAGTTGGTGGAGCACTGGCCTTTGAGCTTGAAGGTTGTGGGCCAACTACATGCCCACCACAAGACCTTCTCCACCGACTCCCCCTAATGTCTGCTGCCATTGTGTTCTTGGCAAGACACTCAACCCCACTTTGCCTGAAGCCCCGCTAAAAGGAAAAAATGTATTGGTTAGAGATTGAAAGCATTTGTTTCAGGTGGAACCATCGAGCTCACGCTGGTATCCTCTGCTCAAACTGAGGAATTGTTTTCCAAAAAAACAGCAGGAAAACAGTTTTCGGAGGAAACTGTTTTTTGCAACAGCTGACGCACCAGCTGAAGAGTTATTGAAAGCGCCTCTGACCAATCACAATTGATGTTCGCCGACGTCAGATTGTTTTGGTATCGACTTGGCCTAGCTAGAGCCAGGGCCAAGCCGTTACTAAAAAAGTACCGGGTAGCGGCTAAAGCGAGCCAGTGAAAAGGCCCACAAACCAAGGAGAGTGGAGTGGAGTAGAGTGCCTCTATTGAAGATAATTATACAGGAAAAACATGTATTTATTGTACCTCGTTGTGCTAGAAATTTGCAGCAGTTGGCGTCTCCTGTGGCAGCTGCGAAGTGCAGAGCAGTGCAGTCCTCCAGGCTGACCACTCCCATATCAGCTCTGTATGCAGACAGTACTTTAATCACCTGCAGACACAACACAAGAGATCTTAAAGGCTGTTGCATAGTGAGGTTCAGTTAATGCTATTAACTGATGTGTTATTATGGAGGACCAAAAATGACTAAAGTATAAATAAATAAATAAATACAGGAATATATTAATAAATACATTCATTTTGGACAATAAAAACTAAATATTTACATTGATGTGTTAAATATTACTATGAAATCAAATAAATATACTTTTATTTAGGTTATTTATCAATATCTACATTTTTTCCTTTATTTATTTATCCATTTATTGCATATATTTATTTATGTATTTCTACATTTCTTCATTTATTTATTTATGTATTTCTACATTTCTTCATTTATTTATTTATGTATTTCTACATTTCTTCATTTAGTTATTTATGTATTTCTACATTTCTTCATTTATTTATTTATGTATTTCTGTGTCGCTACATTTCTTCATTTATCTATTTATGTATTTCTACATTTCTTCATTTATTTATTTATGTATTTCTACATTTCTTCATTTATTTATTTATGTATTTCTGTGTCGCTACATTTCTACATTTATCTATTTATGTATTTCTACATTTCTTCATTTATTTATTTATGTATTTTTGTGTTCCTGTATGCTAATTAGGTGGGCGGTGCTGAACTCAATCTAGAACAGGATTGGTTAGGATTGCGTGAACTCTGGTCTCGATCATTTACTGCCTCACATTACGGTACTCTGTTAGCTAGCTAGAGATCCTCTGTGCACTTTTGTGTGGTATGATGGCAGTTTCGAATGTAAGTTTTTTAGGAGCCATTGCTCATCAATTAAGAGCATTAGCAAATGATGTTAATGATGTTGAGCATAATGCACCTGAGGACTATCTACTCTTTCGGCTGGACAGACTATAGATGTTTTAGTTCATCACAGTGCTGACCCAGAGGTAGACTTTGATGCAACTGTGCTGGACGCTCTTCAACAAGCAGCAGCTTCACATCCTCTCACAAACCGAGAAGGCTAACTTTGCTTCTGTCTGGTTGCCCTGGCTGACCTACTGCCCACCAATCCTGCTGTTGATTGAGTTCAGCACCGCCCGCCTAATTAGCATACAGCAACACAGAAATACATAAATAAATAAATGAAGAAATGTAGAAATACATAAATAGATAAATGAAGAAATGTAGCGACACAGAAATACATAAATAAATAAATGAAGAAATGTAGAAATACATAAATAAAAAAATGTAGAAATGTAGCGACACAGAAATACATAAATAAATAAATGAAGAAATGTAGAAATACATAAATAAATAAATGAAGAAATGTAGAAATACATAAATAAATAAATGAAGAAATGTAGAAATACATAAATAAATATATGCAATAAATGGATAAATAAATAAAGGAAAAAATGTAGATATTGATAAATAACCTAAATAAAAGTATATTTATTTGATTTCATAGTAATATTTAACACATCAATGTAAATATTTAGTTTTTATTGTCCAAAATGAATGTATTTATTAATATATTCCTGTATTTATTTATTTATTTATTTATTTATACTTTAGTCATTTTTGGTCCTCCATATGTTATGGTTTGGCTTGTGAAAATCTAAATCTAATCTAAATTCTATAATCATAAGACATCTATTAGTGAAAGTTGCACTAATACTGGCAATTGCAGTTGTTCAATGGAAGTTGATCAATTATGTAAGCTGAGCGCTCGCCTCAAAGAAGCCTCCCTTGGCAGCATAATGAACTGCAGTATGGCGATTTTTATCGGTGGCGTTGGGGTTTCCTCCTCTTCTCAGAATGAACCTGACGAGCTGCAGGGAGCCGGCTTTGGCAGCTTCCATCAACGCAGTCACACCAGTTTTCTGTCAGAGAAACAAGAGAGGGCTGCTAAAAGTCATTGGTAGGATTACACTATTTACACTCTCATGTTTTGCTTATCTTTTAATAAATAGTCAAGTCGTATCATAGTAAATAATGTTATGTTTGTCAGTGGGTTATAGCAAACTGGTTTTCATCATTCAAAAGATATGCAGAGACTTTTGTCTGTACCTCGTTAGTAGCATTGGGGTGGGCACCGCCCTCCAGCAGCAGCAGGCACTTGGGGGTGCACTCCAGGGCATTTTCACACATGAGCTGAAACACGTGGCTTCCTGAGGTGGAGACATTGTTGGCGTCGGCCTGATGCATCAGAGCCGTCTGCAGACAGCGTGTGTGCGACTTGGTCGGATAGATGCAGTAGAAAAGCACACCTACAGCGAGTCACAATGAACAGCATTAACATTTGCTTCAGTCAGTAAACTCAACCGGATTTTTTTTATTTTTTTTTTACAGAAATGAGAATAGACATTCACAATTAAATGGTGATCATACTATTGATCACTGTATAATCTGAGCCGTTTTCACATTGCTGTCTTCCTGGGAGGTGTTCAGGGGAGAAGACCCACCAGGTCATCTTTGACCAAGAGCATGCTCTGCCAAAGCAATTTCCAAGTGGTGACTTTTGTTACTTACGTGGCAATAAAAATGATTCTAATTCTGATTCTGAATGCCATGGGAATTCTAGGTGTCAGTGCTTTGCCAGCTGCCTTGCATAAAGTAGAAGAAATTGTATGGATGGATTCTGTGAGTCTCTGACAATCTTCATGAAAATGGACGATAACTTATGATCGCTCAAATTTCTCTGCTTAAGATATTTTAACATTTGAGAAATATTTTGAAATGATAATCGTATTTCATGGCTAACTATGTTTTACCAGAAATTAGTTTGTTTGCATTGATATGTGACAGTTATATATTAACATATTTAGAACTGGAGTATGCATAATGACAGGCACATACTGGTTGCCTCTCTTCTATCAGTCTGTCCCAGGGTAGCTGTGGCTACAGAAGTAGTTTATCACCACTGTGTATGGAGTATGGAGTAGAAAGAATATTGATATGTGAAGCGCTTTTGACTGTCTAAAAAAGCACGACATACAATCAATGCATTGATTTTATGTGCATTCTTTACAAAGTGGACAGAATAATTTCCAAAATTGTAATCACTCAAAGCTGGCTCTTTATGAGGGCTCATCCTGTTCATGTAAAAGCATTATGCGCTCATCCCACAGACAAAGACTTGAGTAATGTTACCCTGAGCAGGCACCAGTGCCTCAGACAATGAGCTGGTTTTAAGTTACTGTTTCTGTTCTACCCCGCAGGATCACTAGCAGGCCTGATCTGTAATTACGTTTACTCAATGCGCACAAGCCACACAGGTGCGAAAACACAAATAACATGTTGGAACTAAATCATAATGGGTTTCACAATTACATACAAACTTGAGGCAAAAACCTCTCTCCAAGTTCAACTTCTTACTTCCTACTCTAGTAATAGCTGCTCCGGACACTGGGTAATTGGAGTAATTACGCTGATTAGTTTAAATAGAGGCCTGAGTAAGAAGATGGGGCCTCTCGAGGAGTTGTCTGGGATACCTCATTAATATCTAAAGAGTGAGGGCGCTGCGTGCATTTTGGTGCGCTCCAATTATACTTGATCAGGGTACTAATAAAGTAGTAATGTAAAGTAAAGTAAGAAAGTATACTTTTGGCCACTGTTGTTTTTCTCACCTTTCCCTTCAGAATCCAGAAGTGTCATGTCCGCCTGGTGCTCGGCCAGCAGAGCCACGATGTCATGATTGCCCAGCTGTGCAGCCATCATAACTGGGGTCACACCCTTCTTGTTCTGGACGTTTGGGACAGCTTCATGGGACAGAAGGAAACTAACCAGCTCTAGGACCGTAACATCAAGATATTGGAATAATGTGATTGTTAGTTGATAATATTTAATAGTTGTTAAATAAGACACAATATAAACAGGCACTATATAAACTACACAGAGGTGCTGTCCACACTTTGTCAGTCCACACATAAAGGTTTCCTTCAACTAAAATCAATGAATCCCTTGAATCATTGATTTTTTTGCCACTTATGAGCCTTTGAAGTCCATTCAGGATCATGACTTAAATAATTAACTACCAAAACGCTTACTTATACTTTGATGATTTTGGGCTCACAAAACAGGGGCTTGAAACAAACAGGTTTGATCAGCTAAAGATTTTGACTAACCATAAGTGGTAATAATGGCAAGGAAATCATCCATATTGCCAGAGTTTGTATGAGCACAACTGTGTAAATATACAGATAGATCTCAATAATACAACTAAAGTGTTGTGTACAGTTCCAGTAAGTTTAATTCATGACTCACCCAGGTTGTTTGCTTCCACGGCCACGTGCAGCACTCCAATGCCGTCCTTGGGTTCGGTCAGGTTGATGAGGTTGTCTGGTCCATACTTAAGCTGCGTCTCAATCTGAAGCTTGTCGTTTTTGTGGATGCACTGAATCAGCTTATAGATCTGCAAGACCTCCATGTGACCCTTAGCCTCCCGACACGTCATGATGAGGCCAGAAAAGGACTGGGCAACGTGGAAAGAAATGATATATTAGACATTTTCAGAAATTATATGACAACTTGTAATCCAGCAATCATGAAAGCATTTGATTTTAAAGGCAAGACATGGATAAGCTGCTGACAAGAATAATTTGATAGTTGCAGCCTTTTTCTGAAGCTTTTTCCATTTGAATGCAAATTAAAATGACCAAATTAATCAAATAAAGACAGCATGCAACCAGTATGCCGTGGCACGTTAATGTGCTTTAGTGTGTTAGTTAGTGTGCCTTTGTAAATGATCCAATATCATCGGCTTTGTTAAAACCTTATTTTTGTAAGATAGTAACACTTTTTTCTTTGTGCTAATTTGTTTGACTATTCAATACACATTGATAAGAACTACTTTGCGTTGTTAATAAAGGCGAGTTTTTCATTTTTGTTTCGGTGTCACATGGGTTGCAAAAGATGTGCCATTGCTCAAAAAGGTTGGGGAACACAGATTGAGAAAACCAAACACTACTGTCTACATTTTTGGATTATATTATTATTATTATTATTAGGCCCGAGCTCCGGGGAAAGGGCCTATTGTTTTTGCTCGAGAGATGTCAAATTCTGCACTTTGATGTGATGTGAGGGGCGGCGTGATGTGGGGCGCGGCGTGATGTGGGGCGGCGTGGTGTGGGGCGGCGTGGCACGGGGTGGTGCGCATGGTGCGCATCGCGCGGGGTGGTGCGCGCGGTGCGGGGAGTGCGCGAGGTGCGGGGAGTCGCGCGGTGAGGCGAGGGCCGTTCGACGTCGCTTGCGGCTTTAATTATTATTATTATTACATTATAAACTAGCGACTCATGGGGCACAAATTTTCATTTGCAAGGATTTGCAAATGAAAATTTGCAAATCAGCACATATTAGCACAAACAAAGTAGCGATCAAGCAGCTAGCTGACGTTACTAAAGTTAAATGAATATTGACAATGACAGCTTTCTCACTCACCTTTTGCTCTGTTTTCACCTCTGAGCTCCTCTACACGGAACGTTACATGTGAAAAACACTTCCTGCTCACAAAGTATAGCTAAATAACAAGGAGACGTCTACAGCGTGATTCTCAGTTTTGCAGAGCACATTTTTGCTCGGGGAGAAAGGGAAGTTAGGGAACGGAGAGGGCTCCATGGCAACGGGACGCGTGTAAAAATCCCGGAAACTGAAAGACGCACGTTTCAAGTTTATAAATAATACATATGATTAAGTTCAAGTAAAACATTGGGAGCATTGATGGGCCTCTTTGGAAATGACATTACAGTCTTTATTTTATTTTATACTTTCAAACAACCAGAAGTTAGTTGTGAAACATCTTTTTCAAAGTGCGGTGCGGTGACCCCGGATGCTCTGGGTACTGCAGTTGAAAAGGTTTATCAGGAAAGCATGTAGTTTGCGTTGTCCCCTTGCCTGTTTAAATGTTCTGATTGAATGTATGGACTTTGAAATTCATAATATGAATACATTTTAACATTGGCTTCATGATTTCTACGTTCAATATGCAATGTTTTATTATTAATACTAGTTTTTTTATTATTATTATTTTACTCATTATTAGTAGTAGGAGTAATAAGTGGGGAGAAGAACCGATATTATGCTTTCTTATTCCCTTGACCAAGAGCAAATACATGTATACAGGGAGACAGGGAATTTTTGATTTCTTGATTTGTAATTATTTGTGTCATTTTATATTGTTTTATCATTGTTATAAAAATATTCCCTATTTTGGTTGGGACACTTGAATGTGTTTCTACATAGACTTTATAAGTTTCTCCAGCAGGTGGCAGTGATGCGCTGCAAACTATTGTGTGATAAAAAGTAAACGTGCATAGCCAGCCTAAGTGCAAACTTTAGAAAACGATTTCCAATGCAAATGAGCATGTCTTTAGTGATTTTTGAGTCATACCGTGAATTTGACTACAGGTTAAACTTAAATTAGGATATCGTTAAAAAGTCCTTTTAATCCTGACTCATTACACGCTAAGTGAGATAAGTCTTCATTTGGTATAGTAAAGGTCATTGTTTCACAGCTTGTAATAAACTCAAATAAAACATCTCAGAATGCTTTTGTATATTGACTGTGAGCCATAAGCATGAACATTATTACAAATCTGTCTTTTTGCATGTAATGAGGCTATACTATATATATGTTTCAGATTGTATATTTTCATAGTAGTTTTCAATCTTGACTGTCTGCTTGAACACTCTCTGGCGAAATAAACTGAGAGATCTTTTTTTGAAATTGGTCTAACACAAGCTTTTCTTGTGGATGTTGCTATACTTTAATGATAAAAACGTTGGAAGACTGGAAATACTGAGCAGAGGTGGTGCTGCCTGTTTTAATCAACATATAAAACATAGAAATGAACTTTGGAACATCTCCTTAATGATTTTGGACATTTAAATGATGGCCAACAAACCCAAGTTAAGTGGATATTTACAATAACTTAAGTAAGGAAAGTTCACATATGATTGACCAATAGTTCAAAACCGATCACTCCAGCATTGGGGAATCACAAAGTTTTATCTCTGTGGAATGAACAAAAAACTCTTCACTTGTGTGAAAGTCTGTATTTCAGGAGCATGTGAAAAAAATTACAAAACACAAACTGTACCTGCCATTGGTGAGAAAGTGGTAACACAAATATCTATAAAATATTTACATTCTTATCTTTCAGAGATATATTTTGCATAGAAACTTACAAAATTACATCCCAGCCCAGTAAATGGCTGTTTCTTGCTTATAAATATACATTAAAACCGGCATGTAGCATTTGATAAAGTAATAACCACTCACAATAATAAATCATATTTCTTTCCATTCGGGAGGTGAATCTACAACATGAATCTTCAAAAGGGTGGGATTTATAGGATAAATACAAGAATAACTTTAGCTTTTGTTCAATTGAAATTAAAAATGATACATAATATGGACCAGTCTGTTGCAGAATGGTAAACAGAGCATTAAATCTCACTGTAGATCAAAAATGTCCTGAAACAGATATTTGTGTGCCTATCAGCTCAGTATATTGTTTGTATTATAATGCACAACATAATTTCTTCATGGCATTACACATTTCTTAGATAAAAGTGAGGACAGTGCACTGCTTAGAGCCACCGAAAATTTGATACAGTGGGAATTATTTGAATATATGATAACCCATAAACCTTACTTTACAGTTTTTCCCATTGTAATTCTAAACAGTCTAAAAAAGGTCTTTGTTTTGTCTTTGCATGATTTATAAAATGTTGTGGTTTGTGATGGAGCTGGGAGAGAATGGTGGTTTGCCCCCCTGTCCCTGATCCAAGACAATTGGCATTGAAAGTTATGTTTCTGGGAATTGACAAAGTGAAACTATGAGTAATAAGAAAAAAATGAAAAGAGTGAATGGACTCAGACAGTGGGACGAGCCACAGATTGATCACCTCCACCAGCCTTTCTTCTGTCATCTGGAAAAGCTTCTATAGAATGTGCTGATTTTCTTCTATAACACTGAAATGGCTTCAGAAGAAAAAAAAAGGAATAAATAAAAAAGGACAAATTGATTCTTCATGTTTTTACAGTAATTTGTAGCTTGAGCCAACCAAAATTCACCCTTTCAAAATTTGTAGGTAAAATGTCATTTTAGTGTGTGACTTGGCACACACTAAATATACTGATGTATGTCACATTGACCAATAACAAATTATAACTTACATACAATTATACATATGTGCCAAAAAATGCATTTTGTCCTTATATTACTATTTTTACGTGAGCTTCCAAGACGACAACAACAAAAACAACTAAAAGTCATGAACAGTTTTGTATTGGCCGCACTATAATCATGAGCTATGATGCTAAATACAGTTTAATGGAGCAGCTGTATATACAGTAGCTTTATACTGAATGAACTGCATTTATCTGTTGGTAAAAACAAACCTTGATATGACCTTTTGCTCCCCTGTCCCACTGTCACTGTACTTTACTCACAGTCCCATTGTTTGCCGTTTTTGTTATTTCAAAAGTATATGTGCTCTAATTTGCACTGCAAAAAAGAGCATAGAGTTTAGGTCAATAATAAAAAGTGAAGTCAACATGTTGAGTTTGACTCATTGATTGAAATGCCACAGTGTCCTGCTCATGATCAGAACATACAGTAATACAGAACATGATCACATGTCTGGGCGTTCATGTTCACTCATTCACTCCGTGTGGGACATGTGCAGACAATAGTTCTGAGTCTGTTCTTTCTGTCGCTCACACATGTGTCCGTCACAGCGTCTGGTACAGTAACATCCCACTGAAGACCGTGAGGGGCTCTGAGGAGTACCCCAGCCGGCCCGTCACCAGGTCGATGCACACCGTGTCCCCGGCCTCCAGAGCCAGGATGATGTTGAACACAGCCACAGCTCCAGGGATGTGTTTAGCTTCTGCCATGGGCTTCTCCAGACCCTCAGGCTGGTACCCGGCCGAGTCCACCCGTGCCACGCCAGTGTTGGATTTGGACAGGACTGCCTCAATCTTCATGTTCTTGTGACCGGTGAGAATTCCACTGAAGAAGTACTTTCCTCGCACTGGAGCGGTGAAGTAACCTGCACATACGTCAAACCAGTCTTTAGCGTATTACAGGAAAACATTATAAGTCAAACTACAAGTTTCGCAATACCAAGACGTAGTTAACCTAGACGTCTTTAGAAATTATTTTTCAGAAACTCTCAAGGTGAAAGTACGTTGTGTGAGTACCTCCAGTCTTGTTTGAGTGGCTTTGACATGTATTCTTTGGAGGTTGTGAGCTATGGTTTCTCAGACCCTGCCCTCTCCTGGAAGCAGCGACCTTTCTACTGTCCTCCTCAGTCTGTTGTAATTCAAACATTCCCCAAAATGATCTATAATCTTTATTGTTTTATTTTCAACCACTGTGGGAATTTCCATATTTGTTTTATAAATCCAACAGAGGTCTGGCATCACTCAACAAAATATGAGGAAAACTGAACTCGTCTTAATGCTTTTCTTTTTTATAAAGTTTAAGTCTGTATTTATAACATTGTTCCAGCTCCAATAATAACCTTGTATCAGATTGATTTCACGATTCCAGACCATGTTATTGGCAGTCATGATTCAAGCAGCTGGTGGCCAATGGTTGTTGAGGTTAAGGCCATGAAATAAGACAAGGGTCATTAGTTGTCTCATTTCCCACTGCTCAGCTTTCTCTAATCGGTCCTAAGACACAATACTTCTTTCCTGAGGTTTTTAGGGTGTTTTCTTTTCCCATTTGAAAGGTCTGGGAACAGGAGTGATGGAGCAGGAGCAGTGCAGTAAAAGTTAAGGTCTTGTAAAAAATTTAAAAAGACAAAAGAAAGAAGAAACTAAAACTGTGTGAAATGTTGGAGATCGACAGGAGAGATAATTGTCGGAGGGATAGGATTATAAGTTTAACATTAACATTTAAGTAACATTTAAGTTCTGTGAAGTTCAATAAAACACAATATATTTAATTTGATCAGGAAATGTACATTGTATGTTTCAAAGTGCGACCCTGAAAGAAAAAAAAAGTTTATTCCAACTAATCCATCATTGAAATAGTTGTCAATTAATTTAGAAATTGATCATTGATTTTTTGAAGCTTAGATAGACATAGACCTAAACATGCTGAGAAGAAGTGTTATGACTTTCATAGTGGGAGTTAGGGTTGGGGTTAGAATGCAGAATGGAAAAAATCTATACATTTAAAAAATTAAATCAATGTGTAACAAGTCATCTCTATGAAGTCTTCCAGGGGCATTAAGCCTTTTTTGGGATCGAAGAACCTAGACGATTAATGGATTGGTTTGATAAATTACAGCCTTATTCTGTACTACTGCATAATAATAATTAATAATATTTCATGGAAAACTATAAAAGAAATACATACATGAGGGATGATATCTTTCTTTTTAATGTTCTGTGATTATTTATGATTTTAATGCTTTCTTGTTCAGCACTTGTGTATGAATTGTGCTATACAAATAAACTTGTCTTGCCTTGCCTTGCCTTGCCTTACATATTGAAATAAATGCAAAAAGGTAGCCCTGAATTATCCTGTCCCATTAAAGTGTCCACATACAAGCAAGTTTATAAAGTGTGCTGGTAAAATGTGTGTCACCTGTTCTGGGGTTATAATTGTTATCTTCGTTGACAAAGACTTTATCGAATGGGATCGTTCCGGCTCCTCTCATTGGCCGCGTCAGAGCAGCGGAGAAGGAGAGGCGGGGCACATGGGCGTCAGAGCCTGGAAGACCTGCACATGACAAACACATTAGAAACAATATCCTGAAACTCTACTTTTTAACCTCACAATAGCACAAAGCCATTACCTTGTTCCCCTCGGAGTCCTGTTAAAGGGAGCAAAGAAACAATCGTGTCAGAAGGCCATTCGTAAAAATAGATATTGCTGTATTTTCTTTCTCATAAGTACAATACCTGGAGGTCCAACTGGCCCCTCTGGTCCTTCTCGTCCAGGAAGTCCCACTCTGCCTTGGGGTCCAACAACGCCTTGGGATCCTCGATCTCCCTTCTCCCCCCTGGGACCTGGCAACCCCCGAGGTCCTGCAGAAGTCAAACCACCAAATATTCACAATTAAATATTTATCTTTATTGGTCAGAGCCTTTGCAGAAGAATCACAAACTAACCAACTAACTATGGATCTGTGTATGTTTCATCCCTAATGTCATACCTTACATTTATTAGAAGACTTTATATTTATACTTTCCAGAGAAACACACATAAGCCTAAACAACTGAGCCACATCATTTGTACAAAAAGTTATCCATATTGAATGTCAAATAAGTGGTTATGGTCTAGATGGTGAAAATCTTCAAAGTCTGGCTTGTGGCCCTAGGGATTGAAAAAACAAGAAATTGGATCTCGTCTCAATATTCTCTTCACTTATTTTTTACTTAAAGGAGATACATGATGCATATAACCTTTTTTGAGAATTTAACCTTGTTCTCTTATCATAAACAGACCTGGAATTGTTTTTAGATCCATCCACGCTAATACCAGGAACTTATGTCACTCGCCCCCCCTGTAATAGTACTGTAAAAACGTAATTGTTCCACTATGACATTGCATTCAGAGCAGTTATCTGCCTTTTAAAACAATCGCATGGCTGATGTAAACCACCTCTGGTGGTAGCATAGCGATAGGGCAGGCTATCATTGTACACTCTTGATAAACTATAATATATCTACTTAAGATATAATTTCAACCGCTAAAATATGAAAGGACAACATAAAAAGTATCATCATACTTTTACTGGTCAATAATAATGCAAGATACTTCTTAAATATTACGAGTTTCAGGAGTTTTAGCCAAAACACATTCTGAGGAGGAACCAGAATTTGTATATATACAGTATAATGATATCTAGTTGTGCGTGACTTGTTTCTCCAGACTCACCTGTAAAGTCCTGTTCTATGAAGTTGTGAAAGTCTTTGGCCAGGTCGAGCAGTGAGGAGTTGATCTTGTGGATGTTGGATCGGACCTTCTCCAGCTGGACGTCCCGTAGGTCATGAATCACCTCGCCGTGTCCGATCACAGTAGCGTTCAGTCCGTTCACACAGCTCCACAGTCCGGTCACGTGCCGGTTCAGACCCTCCTTGATCCTCTCCAGAGTCTCAGAGAAGGAGTCGAACCGTCCGCATACTCCTTCAAGCTTGAACAGTCTGCGGTCGAGACCATCGCTGGACCGCCGGCACTCTCCCACCTCCGTCAAGTAATTGCGGTTCAAGATCTCAATCTCTTTGCCCAGGCTCCCGAACCGGATTTTTGAATCGTCACGGTGACCTGTCAAGTCTTTATCCAGCCGATCCACCTTTTGGGGATGAAAATAGATGAATGAATAGCATACAGGGAAATACTTAGGCAGTAAGATTGCTTTTGGTATCTTTTTGAACAGCTTACTAAATGTCATTATAGTGTTTTGTATTGTAATGATAGATACTGTAGCTTCCATTAATACCAGGCAAATATACATAAACAATACACAATAAAAAAAAAATGCATTTAGGAAAGACCACAATGATATATAGTCGCATGGCGCAGCAAAGATGGCGCCGTGGTAAGAGCTCTGGTGTGTGCCGTCTGGTACACACTTGGGTAGTCTTGCACAGTTTTTCCAATGTAGCTTTACTGCAAATGGCAAACAAAATGAATCTGACTGCTAATTTACACAGAAGGCGTTACAGCATGTAAGCGTTGACTGCTCGCATATGCGCGTAACATTACTTGGCTCTATGTCCACTGGCCGTGCGCGTTGGTCCGCGACTTTTGATGCTGTCCATGTGTAGTCTATGGAGGAGTGTAGAGGACAGCACGGGCCAGAGGACTGATAGAGCAACACAAATCACATTCATGTGCGCTGGTTTGGCCAGACGCGAGACTTTATGAATGAAAAAAAATAAATTTCCAGGATCAGTGTAAAACCTGCTGCTCCTGCGTGCGTGCGTGTGTGTGTGTGTGGATGCAATCTAGAGCCAAGGACCTCTAGAATCATGTTTCCTATGTGTTTTGACTGGGAGACGCGTTGCTGCGCGTACAAAATTAAAAATCCATCCTAAATTAGGCTCAGCCTCGCGTCATACGTCCGTCATACGCGTGTATAACACTAGTAGTGTAAATATCCCCATTGGTTTACATGTAAAAATGTTACGCGCGTCTGCTGCGCTTATAACGCGTACGTGCTGTAACGCCTCCTGTGTAAATTAGCAGTCAATCTGATGATATGCTTTATACTTTTCAAATTGGATGGGTCTTCAACCTTCTTTAAACATGAATGAGACTTTATTTATGAAAGCATTTAGGATTTAACAACTCATAATATTACTATAGTAAATTATAGTTATGTCCATGTAGCAGCACTATTCTTTGTCAATTTGGATGCCTTTTTGACTGCTTTCCCTCCTTCGGTCGCTGGTTCCATTAACACAGTTGTCCCACAAATATACATTCTTCTGGCTGTGCCATATGATTTATTTTTGTACAACTTGTTACATTCACCAAACAATGATTGCATATTATCAAAGTCTAACCGGTCAAAAGGAGTCAGATATTGGGCGTATATTTTCATAACTGTCACAATATTGTTTGAAGCAGCTGCAGCCAAGAATAACAGGGAGTTTGTTTGATTGACACACAGACCACAGGAGAAATTTATGTTTCTGTGGGCGCAAAAAATAAATCATTAGAACAATTAACACCAAAATAAGTGGATATGCACTGCTGTCATTTTGACTGTAACACCAGGTTTGAGGAAATGTGTTTAATTTAAAATGTATTGGTTTATTTTATATCAATAACCTTCAGACCTTTGCAGGCTCCCCATAGAAATCCTTCTAAACTAAATACAATAATTGTTAGACTGATGTAACGGGGGTTACCTGGAGAGGTCCCTGTTGGCCCACCACAGACTGGCAATAAAAGAGAAAATTGCCTGTTTGTCAAAGAGGTACCAGTGGGAGGTGAGAGTGTTTGCTGGGCCCATGCCATGTTTATCAAGAATTAAAGCTGGGGTGAATTTTTGAGTGGTTTGAAAATCTGTAATCTTTAATTGTTTACTGACCTGTGACTGAGAACTGAGTGTGTGGAATGTATTGACACAGGTAAAACATTTTAAGAACCATTTTAATAACATTAAAAGTGTTATGAAATTGTGTTTATTGTATTTTTCATAATTGTGTTTTAGTGTCTAGCAAGTTCCCTGTTGTCCTTTTTGTAGTTTCTTTGGAGTCTTATTTTTTGAGACCCGGCCCCCAAAGACGTATGTTGCATCTCGGTTAAACCTGTAAAGGCAGACTAACACTTTGTTTCTGGTCACTTCCCTACTAAAAGCAAAACACTGAGAAGTTACAGACTGTGTGACCCCTGACTGTTTGAGCACTGAGTGCAGTGCTTGTAGTAGAGTTTGCTGCCATATTGCAGCGAATGTATAGGTCCACCCTACAACAGGTTCATTCAGATTTCAGGCAGCGTCTATACCTGTATTAGTGATCCCATATGGGAATGCCATCATCAACATGTAAAATGAACGAGGTTAACTTAACCAGTGCCTCCCTGATTGATTTCTGTACATGGGTCACACAGCACTATAAAAAAGTTGGTCAACTAAGGTGGCATCAACTGATCAATCAACCAAACAACAGCCCTAGAATTGACTACCAACAATCTGTTAACAGTCACCCTTTTCACTCAAAATTTACCATGAGACTCAACTTTGAAGCTACAAGAGCAAGAATAGAGCAGAATATTTAAAACTGCTAGGATAAAACATGAAAAATGAGTATAGTGTAAATGTGTCAGCCCTACCTCTGCCAGAATGCTGTTTCTCAGATTGATGAGTGCCCTTCCGTAATCATTCGTAGTTCTGTCAAGACCCTTCAACGTGTCATTGAAGGAGTTGAAGGAGTTCTTGACCCTGTCCAGTTCTCCTTGTATGGACTTCAAATCACCACCCAACCGCCCATTATTAGCGTTGTGTCCATCTAAGCGGTTTTTCAGATCGTTGATGTTGACTTTGCACTGGCCCGTACACTCCTCCACCTCTTCTCTCAGACGCCCCACTTCCTCCTGCAGATTGGAACACACTTGGGAACACGTGGATTCGCCGTTGTCCACTTTCCGTCTCAAATCGGTCAGTTCTGTTTGACATGTGTTGAGTCTTGTCATTGTGGCATTGCTAAATTTTCTCAAGTCGTCTTCAACCCTGCTACAAACAGAACAGTCTTGAATGTCGCGGCCCAGTGTTTCCACTTCGGTCTCTATTTGGTTAAAGCGTTCACCGTTGTCTCCTGTGACACCCTTGATTTTCTTCACGTCATTTGTCAAAACGATCACTTTGTCAACTAGAGAATCGCCAGAAATGGATAAATCATTTAACCTTGTATTGAACTTCTTGATTTCATCCTGATTGGCGATCACTGTCCACTCTAAAGTTTTGACAGTGTCTTCCGTTTTGTGGAGATCCTTTCCCTTCTTTGCGCAGGTCTCGTTGCAAAGTCTGGTTGTTTCTTGGAGATTTTTATCCAAGAATGTTGTGATGTTTTCAAGCTGATTCAAACGACGACTGTGGTCCCTCACCGTATCTCCAAGAACGGCAACGTCAATCTCAACTTTTCCTATTTTGAAGCTATTATCGTCCAAACGCCCAATGACAAGATTACGCAATTGGGTGACATCTCTTTGAACGGTATCCTTCAAGTTGTTGCCAGAATTTGCACATCGTTGCTCTGTTTTCCTCATTGTATTGTTGAGCTTTTTCTCCAAGTCGCGCAGTCTGCCGTTCAGCCTGTCCTCTGTAACTCTTCCCTTGCCGCTACTTCCACCTGAACCTGCTAGCTCTTTGTCCAGGCGCCCTTTGATGACGTCACACTTGTTGGAGGTGGAGGTGACCCGTGCGTCGGTGTCGGTGATTCTCCTCTCGAGCTCAGTGATGGAGTCGCAGCAGGTTTTTGACCGCTCGGATTCAGTGCGGGTGATGTCCAGGCTCGTCCTGACATGCTGGTCCAGGGAGCTGACCAGTTTCTCCAGAGCACGGATGCGCTCGCGGTCCTCCTGCTGTTGGCGCCTCAAGTCCTCCACTCCTGCCTGTGTACAGAGGAAATATAATTAAATGTTGTTGTTTAGCCGTATTGTTATCTACTGTACACATACACATACGGTTATCAAAATCACATACAGAATGTCTTTGCCTCTACTGAAAAACTTCTATTATGTAGAAGTAGTAGCTTATGATGTAAATATAAATGTTGTGTTCTGTAATCTATGTATGTGTGAGATGCATGATATTAGTTTTCTGCAACCCACTCCTTTCCATTGAAATAATTTCTACAATCATCTCTTTCTTCATGTTCATTCATGTTTTTCACAACAATGAATTGCAGCAAATTGTGGAATTGTGCGCAAATTATTTTAATGGGAAACGGACCTCAATATAAATTAATTAGTTGAAGTGTTTTTTTTTTTTGTTTGGAAGAATCATTCATTATATTCTGAGTATTATGTCAAACTTCAGAGGGCCATATGCTTTTAGGTTTAGTAAAGATAACTGACACAATCACAATACCACATGATCCATTTAATATTCTCAATCTTATGTACTGTATGCAGCAAATTAGAATCACAGAAGTGAATAACCCATGTAAAACCATGTACTGTACCTGGCAGGCGGAGCAGGACAGAGTGACCCTCCTCTCCAGCTCAGTCAGGATCTGCTCCTTCATTGAGTTCAGCTCAGTCCCGGTGACTCCGCCCCCTCCCCCGTGTCCGCCTCCTCCGCCCTCCAGCTCATTTCCTCCATTCCCCAGGTGGTTGTTTATGTTCGACAGTGTCCGATCGTGAACCTTTAAAAAGACATTCATTCATTCCATGATCCACCATTATTGCCATCATGCTAAAGTAAGATAAGGGCTATGGCCACATCAGCACATTACCTCTGTTCTGTTGTAGAGGTGGTCCAGTTTGTGCTGAATGCTGTTGATGGTCTCCTTCATATGAGGCTGTGCAGAGTCTGACGGGGTGATGCTCCCAGTCAAACCAGGTCTGTCAGGAATAGATACACAGATTGCAAATTATATAAAACTACGGATTGGTTAGGTTGTGTTGTGAAGATAAAACTAATTATGAGATTAAACAAAGTATGGACACACAAACTAAATAATGGATTTAAGGATATTTGGTGTGATAGGACATACTCCAGGAAGACTTTATTCGAATGCAAAAGAAATTGCATGTGTCTGGTTACGTAGACAAGACAAGACAATCTGACACTGAGGCTATGGGGGATGTTTTTTCTTATGGCATGCTTGTCCAGTCAGACCATTTCAATTTAGTTGTAAAATTAGAAAAATGTGACATTCATCCAGTTATAATATTAAAAAGTTAAAATATAAATAATGATATATTTCAGATTTGAAATTACTCCACAGAAGCCTGACTTTACAGAATAGGGATGACTAAGCAAGCTTTGCCAAAGCTCATTAGCATTCTTGCTACTAAGCATCTACAAAATACAGAGCAGCTAACATTCTTGAACAGAAGTGAAGTCTGCCGCAGAATGAGAGCTGTCAAACATTTGTGTGACTTTCAACTAGTGTCTAAAAACAACATGTTCAGTGATACTCACTTAGGGGACCGAGTTCTCTTTCGACACCTACGGTAATTGATACAATTATGAATATTTATGTTACCATGAAGTCTATTGTTTACATTTTTTTGGAAAATAGTTCAGTACCTTGTTTTAAAGAGATATAATTTGTTTAAAATCCACAAGTGAAAAAAGCACATTCTTCATACAGTAAATACACCGACACGTGCACAGATGTGAAACAAACCGCTGGTGTCAAGGAGGTTATCTACGGACTACATATCATATACAACCTCATACTCCATGTTTTAGGTTCATAAATAAAGTCTGCTCCATCTGCTCCACTGTTAGTGCATGGAGTTTCTCTCTCTATAACAAATAGACTCCCCAGACACTTTAGTGATAGCAAACAATGTCTATAAAGAATCAAAAGCCGAGAGGTCCTGTATATTTTCAAATGTATATCTTAAAGGAGGTTTGAGGCTCCCATCTAAATACTTCAAACGCATTATTAATCCCCGGAACTGTATAAAAGTTGCACGTACAGTTTCTGGTTGATGCCGTTGATGGTGGCTTGCATGTTATGGAGGTCCTTGGTCAGACCACGAATAGTTTCTTCCAGCTGCCGGATTTTCTCATTGTCACCTGCAAAAAAGAGGGGGAAACAAAACAGATGAATTGTTTCTGCATTTTCCTTTGTCATCCACTAAATGTTTTAACATGTTTTTTTATACATTAACACATCATTTTAATATAGGATCTGCAGATAGAAATTGTGCGCTGTTCTTAAAATATAAATACAAGTAGGTAGTAGTATATAAAAAGCTAAAATTGAAGAAATGGTTTTGTCTACATCCCTATTCTTAAAAAACTATCTACTTTGCTTTATCTGTCTATATGTTTCAGCAGAATATCAGCCTCTTCGCCCAATCATCTCATCAACCACTTTTCCATCACACTGCTGACTTCCATTGGGACAAAAGGCAAACCTTCAGAACAGGTCTACCACATGACTAAAGTGTCTTATTGGAGAGTGTTTAGTGCATTTACTGTCTGTATTCTGTTTAATGGAGAGACAATGTTGCCTTCATGGAGCAGCCTCAGAGTTACTGAGCTGTGACTCCTGGCTCTGTCCCTAATGAGTTCAGCAGAGGACCATAGTTACTGTACATAACAATATACAGCATGAACATCATACATGCTCACATATGATGGAGGACAAATGTGTTCTTAAAACCACCACCCCATGTCCAAATGTTCCTTTCTCCAACTGGGTATACAATAACAAATTGTTGTCATAGACAAACTATGACATCAATGACGGATCCATTTTCTGCCCAAACAGAACATTCTTTGCAACTCTAACCTTCCATTAATTTCCCTCTTTTATGATTAAATGGGAGTTGGCACTATCTAGACATCTCTTACTCCATAAATGTTCTACTTTTAGTGGAAATATATTAGGTCATTCTTAAATGTGAAAAGTAAGTGGCTCACTGGGTCAGCCTTTCCTGGGCAACATTTTAGATATATATCTACTACACTACACTGTAAAAACATTGTCTTGAAAAGAAAATCCCATTGATTCAAGAAAGTAATATTAACCTTTTCTCATAATACGTTGTATACAAACAATACAAAATAAAAACAATAAAAAATCATATGCTGGAAATTGGATGAAAATGTGTTTTACGTTAAATAAACTTGCCCCATTCGCAGAAAAAAAAAAAAACGTCATGATGATGATTAAAATATGTTTGAATTAACACAAAAAATTGCTCTAAAGCTTTGAGTAAATTCTTTGTGAAGAATAGTGATTATCTGCTCAGTACCAGCGCCGCCCCTCTGCCCCCCTCCTCCTCCAGAGTTGTGCCCCGGTGGAGTGACTCTGGGACGTCCCGTGTGTGTTGTTGTGGAGACCCTGGGCCCCTCGTGACAGTCTTCTCCGGAGTAACCATGACAACACTTCCACTCCATCTCCGTCACCATCTTATAGGCCACTTTATACCGCGGCCGCCGGTACGTCCGGTATCTGTGCACACAAATATGTTGTTGTTTACGCCCAGATAACAGTTGTGGATATTAAAACAGAAAAAGAGTATTAGAGGAGTTGATTGTAAATGTTAAAGTTGGTGTTATGGCCCTTGGCCCTAGGTTTACCGAACAGAAGGAGGCTTGTGAACAATATGTTCACAACATGCTGTGTTCATCTTCTTAGAAAACATCTTCTTCAGACTTGAAAGATAGTCAGTATCTGACACTTTGGGGTGAGAGCTGGTTGGCCGAGAGACAGAGGTCCTCTGTTCACTTTTCTGTCTCAAAAACTGATCTTAAGGCAAATAATGCATGTGAAAACTAGTGACAGAGCCAAACTGTGTTGAGCCAAACCCTCAAGTTAATGTGAATTGAAATATTACCTTTATTTTTTGTATTAGATAAACCGGCACACAAGAATGAGACAGGATATATATAGTTCAGATTCAGATTCAGATTCATTTTATTAGCCATGTGCAGTATAAAAACTACATTGGAATACATTCGCAAAAAAGGTACTCTGTGTGCACCGACAGAATAAAGAGCACGATACAATGTAATATAAAATACACATACACTGAAAATAAAAGAATTAAAAAAAAACAGCTGACACTGTGGCACCGATCAACAAAAACGATACAACGGGTAAAAGCAGGAATTAAAGTGCTCTGTTTAGGCACCAAACAGCCTGTGGAAAGAAGCTGTTAGCGTAGCGAGATGTCTTGCATCTCAGCGACCGATATCTTCTGCCAGAGGGAAGAAGCTGGAACATGGCTTTCCCAGGGTGGCCAGAAGAGTCATTGATGATTTTAAGAGCTCTGTTTAAAAGTCTGGATTCATAAAGAACCTCCAGAACAGGAAGCTTACAGCCCACAGTCCTCTTTGCAGAGCGGAGCACTAGTTTATATGTTACATAAATTATGTTCAAAATGTTTAATCTATTTTAGATTTAGAATGGTTGCTGTCAAACTATTGAAATTTTAACACTGCATTAGTCATCATATAAATTAAACATAAATCATAATTGTAAGAATCATTTCAAATGGAAAGAAAAAAGGAAAGTAACTTTTTTCTGAGCTGCTTTAATAAATGTCAAAAACAGATAATGAACCATATAACCTAAATGTATTTATTATGACTTTAACTGGTCATGTTCCCATCCCAAGGTGATGCATTTATATTGAACATACGCTCAAATGGATTTGCCTGTGCAAATCCAGAAAAAAAAAATAGCAAGATTGTTTTCCACATTGGCTTCTGAGAAGAGAACTTATTCAAAGTATTCAAACCCAAAACCTCTGTCATGTCTTTCTTATGAGGAAATAGTGAAAACCTTTCTGCCATTGGACATGACTGTGAGGGCAAAGTATAAGAGCAGAAATCCCACAGTGAGCAGCCGACAGTATATTTTAATGTCAAATGACTCATAAGATGTCGGAAAATTCCTCCAAATCATATGCTGCTGATGGATTGGATTAAAGGCGCTCTGTAAACTAAAAATGTTATTCAAGTTCCCCTTTTCCAGAAGCATTTGACCTAAAATAAATCTGTGTAATGTCCCATCGCTATGTTGAATCTGGCAACTTTATTTGTAGTTTTATCACAAATGCACTAGATTACATCTCAGGGAATGAAAATAAGTGTTTTTTTTATTGCAGAAATATAACAAGTATAGTTGAAATAGTGTTTTACACGGTAAATAGTAGAATGCCAACCTAAGTGTTTATGCAGGTAAGGAAGCCTGAGTTTGAGAGCCATAGAAAAGAAGGCTTTTTCCACCTCTTTGGTCTGAGCGTGAGAATATGGTCTGACATGGTCTCGTAATGAAAACACAAACTGAAAAGGGAGGCGGAGATTATAACCAGGAGGGAAAATCATGAACACTTAAAAGATCTAAAAGCTATGTTTCTTTATTATTATTATGACATTATGGTGCAGTGTGTAATTGATCAGTGTAAGGATATACAATACAACTATACTTTGACAATAGAGACATCATCATCATCAAACTTTATTACAGACTCATGGTCCAGGATAAGACAAACACGTCACATAAAACACAAAACACCACATATAATCATAGTAATAAGCCAGTGTCTCCACAGATCTGACTGGTAGCGCATGGCACTGAATTTGACAGTTGTCAGGCTTATAATTATACTATTCTGGCTTAACAGAACTCATACTAAAATGTGTCTTAATAATAAATACTTTTGAGACTTTGTAATTACTAATATGGTCAAACTAGGATAAAAGTTGTATGTGTTTTATATAAAGAGTATTTCTTCACTAAACCAAGCTTCTTTTGGTTCAAGACACAAGTAATAGCTGGAATTGTCCGACCCTTTCCACATGTGAGCAGATCCAGTGACCCTCATTCTTGAAATAGTCCAGGTTTAAAGTGAAGCCCTCAGAGGACCGGGGTCAAGACAGCAGAGAGAGAAAGAGCAAACATTGGTTGAATTAAATATTCAATTAATGTCCAATATTTTAAGTGTGTCTAAAAGTTTCAGGGTTGTCAAAAGAATCAAAGATCAGATAAGAATCTATACTAAAACTATATGGAACTTAGATACTTGTTTGAGTATCTAGTTTCTAGCATCTAAAAAAAATCACATACAAAGGAAAAGGTGAGAATCTTTAAGCGGTATTTTAATTATTTTTATATCAGAATTAGTAGAAAACATAGTGGAACCAATAAAACATATAATTAATAGTTACCTAATGTAACTTAAGTTCTACGAATAGGTGCGTAGTCCCTTAGGACTTCGCTAGTGGGATATCACTCGTGACCCCCAGGTCACACGCCAGAGAGATCAAAATAATTTGCTCCAATCACCAGCCACCGTCCTCTATAAATGCCCCTGCACAAGGCCGCACCCCCTCTTGAACTCTGCCAAGCCGGGCTGGCCTGATGGGCTCGTAGCTAAGGGACTACGCACCTATTCGTAGAACTTAGGTAACTATTAATTCTACGTCATGGTGCTACGTCCCTTAGGACTTCGCTAGTGGGACACAACGCGGAGGCCGTAGGAAAATGTACTCCCAGCAGGCCAGCGAAGGGTGATTGGAGCTCCGCCCGAGCAAGACCCTCACACAGTGAGAGGACTCAGGGCAGAAGAAACAAAGCGTGTTACAGGGCCACTCCTACCAAGGATACCCCCACGTAACACAGATGTAGGTCATCCGTAGTCACAGGACGCCTCTCCCAAGAGCTCCTGACGTGGACTACCTGACCGACCAAACACACATATATGTACCGCACCTGTAGGACGCCTCTCCCAAGAGCTCCTGAACCAGGGCGGAAAGTAAACCGAAGGCCCCCTCAGAGGAGGGACCTAACGGTCTAACTCAGTCCGCTGCACTCAGCACGGAATGGGCCACCGACCGGTCCGACACATCCAACAGATAAGACCGGACGAAAGAGGAGGACGACGCCCAAGAAGCCGCACGGCAGACGTCCTCGACCGACGCCCCCCTGAGAAGGGCCGTAGAGGCCGCCATCCCACGCGTGGAATGCGACCTGAAGCCCTCCGGGGGGGGCAGACCCTGCGTCTGATACGCCCGCCGCACAGCCGTGGCGACCCAGTGCGCCAGCCGCTGAGCCGACAGCGGGGCGCCCCTGTTCTTGGGGCCCAGACACACAAACAGCTGACCACCCAACCTGAATGACGACGTCATGGCCAGGTAATGCCTCAGCATTCTGACAGGATACAGAAGGTGCCGCCGCTCCTCCTCGGGGGAGGCATGCGGTGGCGGATAGAAAGCCCTAATCCTGATGACTCTCGACCTAAAGGCCGACGTGATGACCTTGGGGAGAAAAACCGGATTGGGCCACAATTCCAACATGCCGTCGCCCTCTCCAAAGGACAGGCAAGACGCATGGACAGAGAGCGCACACAAGTCGCCCGCCCTCTTAGCAGACGCCAACGCCAACAAGAGGGCCATCTTAAAAGCGACACACTCGGGACTCGCCTCCGCCGCCGGTTCAAAAGGCGGACCCGACAGCCCCCTAAGGACCACCCTGAGGTCCCAAACCGGGGGCGTTCTCTGGAGCGGGGGCCTCCTCCTGCGCGCCCCCCGCAGAAAACGTTTAACCAACGGATGAGAGCGGGCTGTGAACCCCCCGAATCCGTCGTGACCTGAAGTAATGGCTGCCGCGAACACCGCCAAGGTGGCGACAGCCCTCCCCTTGTCAAAGAGCTCCTGTAGGAATCCCAGGACCCCCTCCAGCGGGCAACGCCTGGGATCCCAGGAACGGGAACCGCACCAGACGCTGAAGAGCCTCCACCTCGTGGCGTAGGCCCTCACAGTGGACGGCGCCCTCGCCCCCTGAATGGTCTCCACCACCGCAGGGGGAAGACCCAGGTCTACGAGGTTCCGCCTCTCAGCCTCCAAACCCAGAGCCTGCGGCCGATTATCGGGCGTGAAAACAGGGCTCCCCCCTGGACTAGAGCCCCCGGCTCGTCCGGGAGGGCCCAGGGCTCCATCACCGCCATGCCCCTCAGGAAGGGGAACCACCGGGCATGCGGACTGTCCGGAGCCACCAGGATCACCAACCTCCTCTCCTGTTCGATCCTCTGCAGCAGGACCGGCAGGAGACGCACTGGTGGGAAAGCGTACAGCAGGCCCCCTGGCCAGGGGTAATGAGCCAGAGCGTCCACGCCTAAGGGCGGCTCGTCCGCGGCCCTTAAGGCAAACCAAGGCAAAACACTGTGCGTTCTCTGCACTGGCGAAAAGGTCGACCACTGGACGGCCGAACCTCCGCCAGATCTCCGCAGCTACCCGTGGGGCCAGGCCCCACTCGTCCTGGAGTGGGCCCCCCCTGGACATCCTGTCGGCCCCCACGTTCCGGACCCCCGGGACGTGGCGCGCCCTGAGAGACAGGAAGTGAAGCGCCGCCCACAGCAGCGTCACCGTCGCCATGCGATGGAGAGCGGGGGACCTGGTGCCCCCCTGCCTGTTCAGATAGGAGACCACTGTGGTGTTGTCTGAGCGCACCATCACGTGTCTCCCCTGCAGCTGAGGGGCAAAGTGCAGCAGTACTCTGTGCACTGCCTCCATCTCCAGCAGGTTGATGTGACGGGCTGAGTCCGACCAGCAGCCTCCTACAGAGCTCTGGCCGAGGACCCCGCCCCATCCTTCGAGCGAAGCGTCCGTGAACACCTCCACGTGAGACACGGCGCAGGCCAGAGTCACTCCGTCCCGCAATAGACCCGGAGTGAGCCAGAACCTGATGTCCAATGCTGCCACTTGGGGAACCCAGATCAGCCTCCCCCCGTCCCGGGAGGGGTGAAGCCTGAGGCGCGAGAATCACCTCTGAAAATTTCTCATGTGGAGCAGGCCTAGCCGCACCACAGCATGAGCCGCCGCCATCATTCCCAGCAGGGACCTGAGGCGCCGAGCGGGGACTCTGAGGCCCGCCAGAACCTCCCGGGCCAGACGGGTAATATTCATCCGTCTGTCCACGGACAATGCAGCACGGAACGTCACAGAGTCTAGCTGCAGGCCGAGATAAATCATGCGTTGAGCTGGCTGCAGCTTGCTCTTCTCCCTGTTCACCACAAAGCCCAGACGCTGTATGTGGGACAGGACCCAGTGCGTGTGGCTCACGGCCACTTCTCTGGATGAGGCCAGAATTAACCAGTCGTCTATGTAGGTTAATATTCTTACCCCTGCGCGTCTGAGCGGCTCCAGAGCTGCTTCCACACATTTGGAAAAAGTCCGAGGCGCGAGTGCGTACCCGAAGGGTAGACGGCAGTACTCGTAATTCCTCTCTCCCACTGCGAAGCGCAGAAACCTCCTGTGTTCTGGCACTATGGGCACGTGGAAGTACGCATCTGTCAGGTCTATGGATGTCATCCAGTCTCCCTCCCTGACACACTCGAGGAGCTGCCTTGTGGACAGCATCCGAAACTGCCGTTTGGAAATGCACTCGTTTAACACGCGCAGATCCAGAATGGGACGCACCCCGCCTGACTTCTTTGGCACTAAGAAGTAAGGGGAGTACAGCCCCCTGGTGGCGTCCTGCGGGTCTACATCCACTGCCGCGCCTCGACTCAGCAGAGAGGAGACCTCCGCTTGCAGTGCCTCTAATGATCCCCGTACCTGAGAGCGTGCTGCCCGTACGCCTCGGAATGGTGGTGGCTTTCTGGAGAATTGCAGCGCGTAACCTCTGCGCAACGTCTTCTCCAGCCATTGATTCGTCAGCAAACCCTGCTCCCTCCAGATACTGTAGAAGTCTGTGAGGGGCGGAACGGGAGCTGGAACACGAGACGTCACTGCCCCGCCCTCTCCTGGTGTTCCTAGCAGGGAGGGGGGGTGGACGAAAGGGCCGGGGGGCCCCCTGCGTCACACCGAGAGCGCCGGGGGCAGTCACGTGTCCTGCAGGCCCGACGTCATAAGTACGGGACTGCTCATACCACGTGACTCGGCTGCTGTGCTCCCCCCTGGCTCTAGCCTCATGGAGGGGGGGGGCGAGCCCCTGGAGTGGGAGACCCCGTGTTAGCTTTGTAGCTCAGAGATGCTAACACGCGTTCGGCCGAAGCACACACATCACTACTCACCAGATCCCTCCGCCTGACTTCTCTCTCTGAGGGCATAGCATGAACCAGAGAACCAGAGCTCGTAGCTCGCGTAGCGCACTGCACACCCTGCTCTGGGGGCTGCAGGCCTAGCGAAGCAACGTTATGTGCTCGAGAAGTAACACAATCAGAATTCACATTGTTTGACATGTTACATACCCCCAAATGAGACTCAGACAGCGAGTAATGACGAAATGCCGGTGGGCCTTTATTGAAAGAATTCTTCCCACCCCGACCTCTGCCATAGGGAGGTCGGCGATGGGTGCGTTGGTCCCGCGAGCCTCCCCTGGGCCTGTCTGGACCCGGGGGCCTCGTGGAGGGGGGACGATAGGCCTCAGAGCGTGGATAAGGGCCAGGGCGCCACCCGGGCGAACGCTCCCTGCCTCTGTCCCGGCTCCGCGCTGGTGGGCGGGCCTCGCGCCTCGGCGCTAGGTGCTGGGCTAGGCTAGCCGAGTCCTTGGCTGCGGTCTCCAGTCTAGCCACCAGGGTCTGCATGTCCGGGCCGAAGAGGGACATCTGAGAGATGGGCAGGTCCAGCAGCTGCCTCTTCTCCGCCTCTCTGATGTTAGCAAGCCCAAGCCAAAGGTGCCTGGCCCCGACTTGAGCTGCTGCCATGGAGCGGCCGCCATCGACAGCTAGCGCCTGGCACATGCGCAGGATCGCCACTGAAGTGGTCCTCGCCTGTGATAAGGTGTCTCCACTGAGCGCCTGGCCAGAGGAGAGCGACCTATCCAGGGCCCCCGTGATGAAGGCCATGTTATTTGCCACAGCGACGACCTGTGCCGCATTGGCGTAACATCTGTCCAGCATAGCCAACGACGTCCTGTCCCGCTCGGAGGGAAGGAGAGGTCTGGTGCCGGGCCACACGGATGCGGAGGGGTGCAGGGCCATGCGGACCGAATCCTCGATGTCCGGGACCCCGCCGTTCCAGGACCAGTCCTGCACGCTGCAGTACATGCCGTAGCCCAAAGCGGGCCTCTTGGCCGCTAGGGGCTTTGGCCACTCACGTGTCGCGTAATGGACGATAGGGTCCATCCGCGGGCACAACGTGGGCTGTATCCGCCTCCTCCCTCGAGTGGTGGCGTAACCAGAGGTGAAGTCCTCTGCCCTCTGGGTCGGCTGCGGTGGCAGGGGGGCATCCATGATGGCCGCCGCGGAGGAGTAGAGCCCAGGCATGTGGTCCAGTGGGAAGCGGTCCGGCTCCGGGTTCGAGACCACCTCGTCCAGGGTGAGGAGGGAGCCGACCTCCAAAACCTCTCCGTCCTCACAGTCACCCCACTCCGCGGGCACGGGTGGAAGGTCGAGTGGGGCCCAGTCAGTCTCAGACTCCTCGTCCTGAGAGGAGTCCGGACGGGGCGCTGCAGCGGCGGGGAACGCACGCCTGCGTTCGCTCTCCTCCCTGGGGAGAGCGAGACACGAGGTGCAGGTGGCGCTCAACGCCGCATGGCCCGGGGTCAGGCACATGAAGCAGCTGGAGTGCTGGTCCGTGCGCTGGAGCCTGACTCGACACGTCGAGCAACGACGACGTCCGGCGCCGGATGGCAAAGGGGAACTCGGACGAGCATCAGAAGACATCTTTCTTTTCTGGAAGTTAGTACTGTGGTAGATCTCAATCGGCGCCAGAGTGAAAGAGGGGGTGCGGCCTTGTGCAGGGGCATTTATAGAGGACGGTGGCTGGTGATTGGAGCAAATTATTTTGATCTCTCTAGCGTGTGACCTGGGGGTCACGAGTGATATCCCACTAGCGAAGTCCTAAGGGACGTAGCACCATGACGTAGAACTATAATGATGTATTGCTATTTATGTTCAAACTGCATTGGAAAAAACCGTCACAGTGGTTTTACCGTTTTTGAATGGTCTCGAAGTTGAGTTTGTAATTTTTGTATCGAAAGAAGACAGTATATTGTGTTTTATCAAAATAATAAGCATAGAATGTAAAATATGATGTTATCTTGATCTGGATATTCCGATTTTGCATTTGCATTTGTTTACATGAAAAAAGTCAGAGTCTGTATAAAAACATACATTCACAAATCAAATCATGTGAGGTTTGATTTTTGTTCAAAAAAACATTTTGTGTTCATTCATGTTTGTGTCACTGCTTAGAAACGTTCAACTTATGAAATTTGTTTTAATACCCTTTATTTATAAACCATTTAGACTTTGTAAAATGAGTTTTCTGGGATTTCAAAACAAAATTAAGTCTGACTGAAGTGGAAACAGACTTAAAGGGTTCACCCAATAGAACATTGTTTTAAAAAACTATTAATGTGGGAGAAAAACCATTTCCCTCTCTACCACATCCTTTTATAGGAACTTAAAAAATGATATGTTCTGGCACTGACTCTGGTTCTGCCTGGTCCCAGACTTCTACCAGACCAGTCTAAGTTTAGCAGACGTTAAAGAAGAAAGAGAGAAAGAAGCACTGGGGAGGAGAGATATGAAAAGGAAAGGAACAAAGGACCAGACAGATCCAGGACTTAGCAGATCGACACAGGAAGTCAGAGTAGATTAGCGCAGATTACAGTGTGAGAATCAAAGGACACATAAAATACAGGACTCACGCCACTCTAGGACACTGGCCCCACGTGCACCGCTGGTAATCCGGTTTGATGTACGTCTCCACGCCGTCCTCCATCACGCAGCTGACCGTCCGTGTCACCACGTACGCACACCAGTTCCTGTCAGGCGAAAAAGATATCTCACTTATTGCTTTGTTTATTTGAGATTTACTTCTTTTTTTTTTTAAATAAGAGCAGGGGATTGCTTTGGCTTCTGAAAAATGAAAATATTACATGGGCTGTAAAAGTAGATAAAAAACAAAAAATATGGGCACTAGTTGTTTAGCCACATTACCAGTCTCATATCTGGCAGTTCGATATGCATAGCAAACTAAGATAAAACAAAGGAAAGCTTAAATGTAATCTATGACTTAATTTACGGAATTCTAGGATTTTATGGTGTGATCATGAACTGTATATGGAGCGCCACCGTCCACAGTCATTCTATGGGACTACAGATAGAAATGAGCAAAAAAACTACAATCTGGAATAGGTACATCCTCCTGCTGGTCATTAATACACACTGTTCATTCCAAATAAAACATAAATAAAAACCATTCCATTCATCCATTTTCTTCCCCTTAATCCATTTCTGGGTCGGGGGGTGGCAGTCAGAGCTGCACCCAGTACACATAGCACAAGCCCCTCACTGATCCTCCTGCAGGTGGTGAGCCTTGATCTTCCAGCGGGGGCTTTGGGCAAAGTAGGGTTAAGTGTCTTGCCCAAGGACACAACGACAGCAGTCATCAGTGGGAATCGTGAAGTAAGTCTTGAGGTGGATTTGAACCTTCGACCTTCAGGCCCAAAAGCCAATGCTCTACCTACTGAGCTACTGTCGCCCCATATAAATAAATAAAAAATAAATATATTATTATAAAACTATATTGCAGACACAAGGTCCAGATAAAAAAAATATAAACAAACAAATAAAAATAAACACACAGTTTTACCGCAGACTAATGTACCAGTGACGCCACAGTTCAGACTGATAATGCGTGACTGATTCTGATGCTGGACCGGCTCATTATGATCACGTTCTGACATTGATTCAGCAAACACAGAAAAATAAATCTGTTAAGTTTCTAAAGACAGCACGAAAAGTCCGAATCCCAGAAGAAACAAATAACGGTAACACTTTACATTACGGGCCGGTAAGTCCATGGTACTTACAGTGGTACTTCTAGGTACTTACAGTGGTACTTCTAGGTACTTACAGTGGTACTTACGGTGGTACTTACGGTGGTACTTACGGTGGTACTTACGGTGGTACTTACGGTGGTACTTACGGTGGTACTTACAGTGGTACTTACAGTGGTACTTCTAGGTACTTACGGTGGTACTTACGGTGGTACTTACGGTGGTACTTACGGTGGTACTTACAGTGGTACTTACGGTGGTACTTACGGTGGTACTTACGGTGGTACTTACGGTGGTACTTACGGTGGTACTTACGGTGGTACTTACAGTGGTACTTACAGTGGTACTTACAGTGGTACTTCTAGGTACTTACAGTGGTACTTCTAGGTACTTACGGTGGTACTTACGGTGGTACTTACGGTGGTACTTACGGTGGTACTTACAGTGGTACTTACGGTGGTACTTACGGTGGTACTTACGGTGGTACTTACGGTGGTACTTACGGTGGTACTTACGGTGGTACTTACAGTGGTACTTACGGTGGTACTTACGGTGGTACTTACGGTGGTACTTACGGTGGTACTTACGGTGGTACTTACAGGGGTACTTACGGTGGTACTTACGGTGGTACTTACGGTGGTACTTACAGTGGTACTTACAGTGGTACTTACAGTGGTACTTCTAGGTACTTCTAGGTACTTACAGTGGTACTTCTAGTGGTACTTCTAGGTACTTATTGTGGTACTTACAGTGGTACTTCTAGGTACTTACAGTGGTACTTAGAGGTACTTATTGTGGTACTTACAGTGGTACTTCTAGGTACTTATTGTGATAATTCTAGATACAGCTGTAACTTAGTAATTCAAGGATACTACAGCATTATTCCTATGTAGTAAATGTGGTACTTCTACATGCATACATACAGAGGTCATTTGTAGGATTGTTTGACTATAAAACATAAAACAACATTATGTAAAACAAACGTCTTTATTAATATGGAATAAGTAGCACAGAAAGGACAGTATAAATACATTTAATGCATATTTCAAAACAAGTTTCAAGGACAAGGGAAACACTGCAAGAACTAGGTACCCAACCCAAGTAACAAGAATTACACATTACCAGGTACTTACCAGCCAAGTACCAGGTACTTACCAGCAAGTACCAGGTACTTACCAGCAAGTACCAGGTACTTAACAGCAAGTACCAGGTACTTACCATAGGGACTGGCCCATAATAAGACAAAGGACTTTAACATAAGTACCAGTGATAACACCAGTAATTATACAGTAAGTACCAGGTACTTACCATAGGGACTGGCCCATAATAAGACAAAGGACTTTAACATAAGTACCAGTGATAACACCAGTAATTATATAGTAAGTACCAGGTACTTACCATAGGAACTGGCCCATAATAAGAAAAAGGACTTACCCATAAGTACTAGTGATACCAGTAATTATATAGTATACCATGTACTTACCAGCAAGTACCAGGTACTTACCATAGGGACTGGCCCATAATAAGACAAAGGACTTTAACATAAGTACCAGTGATAACACCAGTAATTATACAGTGAGTACCAGGTACTTACCATAGGGACTGGCCCATAATAAGACAAAGGACTTTAACATAAGTACCAGTGATAACACCAGTAATTATATAGTAAGTACCAGGTACTTACCATAGGAACTGGCCCATAATAAGACAAAGGACTTACCCATAAGTACTAGTGATACCAGTAATTATATAGTATACCATGTACTTACCAGCAAGTACCATGTACTTACCAGCAAGTACCAGGTACTTACCAGCAAGTACCAGGTACTTACCAGCCAAGTACCAGTTACTTACCAGCAAGTACCAGGTACTTACCAGCAAGTACCAGGTACTTACCAGCCAAGTACCAGGTACTTACCAGCAAGTACCAGGTACTTAACAGCAAGTACCAGGTACTTACCAGCAAGTACCAGGTACTTACCAGCAAGTACCAGGTACTTACCAGCAAGTACCAGGTACTTAACAGCAAGTACCAGGTACTTACCATAGGGACTGGCCCATAATAAGACAAAGGACTTTAACATAAGTACCAGTGATAACACCAGTAATTATACAGTAAGTACCAGGTACTTACCATAGGGACTGGCCCATAATAAGACAAAGGACTTTAACATAAGTACCAGTGATAACACCAGTAATTATATAGTAAGTACCAGGTACTTACCATAGGAACTGGCCCATAATAAGACAAAGGACTTACCCATAAGTACTAGTGATACCAGTAATTATATAGTATACCATGTACTTACCAGCAAGTACCTGGTACTTGCTGTTAAGTACCTGGTACTTGCTGGTAAGTACCTGGTACTTGCTGGTAAGTACCTGGTACTTGCTGGTAAGTACCTGGTACTTGCTGGTAAGTACATGGTATACTATATAATTACTGGTATCACTAGTACTTATGGGTAAGTCCTTTGTCTTATTATGGGCCAGTTCCTATGGTAAGTACCTGGTACTTACTATATAATTACTGGTGTTATCACTGGTACTTATGTTAAAGTCCTTTGTCTTATTATGGGCCAGTCCCTATGGTAAGTACCTGGTACTTACTGTATAATTACTGGTGTTATCACTGGTACTTATGTTAAAGTCCTTTGTCTTATTATGGGCCAGTCCCTATGGTAAGTACCTGGTACTTGCTGGTAAGTACATGGTACTTGCTGGTAAGTACATGGTATACTATATAATTACTGGTATCACTAGTACTTATGGGTAAGTCCTTTGTCTTATTATGGGCCAGTTCCTATGGTAAGTACCTGGTACTTACTATATAATTACTGGGTTATCACTGGTACTTATGTTAAAGTCCTTTGTCTTATTATGGGCCAGTCCCTATGGTAAGTACCTGGTACTTACTGTATAATTACTGGTGTTATCACTGGCACTTATGTTAAAGTCCTTTGTCTTATTATGGGCCAGTCCCTATGGTAAGTACCTGGTACTTGCTGTTAAGTACCTGGTACTTGCTGTTAAGTACCTGGTACTTGCTGGTAAGTACCTGGTACTTGCTGGTAAGTACCTGGTACTTGGCTGGTAAGTACCTGGTAATGTGTAATTCTTGTTACTTGGGTTGGGTACCTAGTTCTTGCAGTGTTTCCCTTGTCCTTGAAACTTGTTTTGAAATATGCATTAAATGTATTTATACTGTCCTTTCTGTGCTACTTATTCCATATTAATAAAGACGTTTGTTTTACATAATGTTGTTTTATGTTTTATAGTCAAACAATCCTACAAATGACCTCTGTATGTATGTATGTAGAAGTACCACATTTACTACATAGGAATAATACTGTAGTGTCCTTGAATTACTAAGTTACAGCTGTATCTAGAATTATCACAATAAGTACCTAGAAGTACCACTGTAAGTACCACAATAAGTACCTCTAAGTACCACTGTAAGTACCTAGAAGTACCACTGTAAGTACCACAATAAGTACCTAGAAGTACCACTGTAAGTACCTAGAAGTACCTAGAAGTACCACTGTAAGTACCACTGTAAGTACCACTGTAAGTACCACTGTAAGTACCACTGTAAGTACCACCGTAAGTACCACCGTAAGTACCACCGTAAGTACCCCTGTAAGTACCACCGTAAGTACCACCGTAAGTACCACCGTAAGTACCACCGTAAGTACCACCGTAAGTACCACCGTAAGTACCACCGTAAGTACCACCGTAAGTACCACCGTAAGTACCACCGTAAGTACCACCGTAAGTACCACCGTAAGTACCACCGTAAGTACCACCGTAAGTACCTAGAAGTACCACCGTAAGTACCTAGAAGTACCACTGTAAGTACCTAGAAGTACCACTGTAAGTACCACTGTAAGTACCACTGTAAGTACCACCGTAAGTACCACCGTAAGTACCACCGTAAGTACCACCGTAAGTACCACCGTAAGTACCACCGTAAGTACCACTGT